CTCAGCTCGGGCTGACTCGAACCGCTGTTGCTCAGAGCTCAAACTCTTGAGCGAGCTCTTAACCAACTGAGCCACTCAGCCGGCCCTCATTAAAATATTCTTATACTTATGGTTCTCTGGCATAACTAGTTTAGCAGTATACTTTATTCCATTGATATTCTTGCAAAGTTGGATGCAGAGTGAATTTCAGTAAATAAAACTCTACTGATTTCCATTATAAAGTCATAGGTACATTTCCACAGATAACCGAATGAAATCTAAAACATAAAATAATTTGCACAGTGGCTCTGGTTAAGGTTACTAGTCTTCAGTATGATAAATACTAGTTTATTTACTTTTTTTTTTAAGAGAAGTAGAAAGCTTTATTGAATGTGTAGAGAAGGGTTATTTAGTTGTCTTTTGAAGAGCCTGCTGCCTCCCAGATTTCCTTGATGGTAGGCTGGGACGCTCTGCAGCCTCACCCTAAATGTCTGCTCTCCTGGTCTCTGGCTGCATCTTCTGGGCATCAAGGTGGGCCAGCCTTGCCTCCCCCAAACCCCCATCCCCAGCCTGTTTCCTAGTCAGCCTAGAGGGCAGCGTGGCTGGAAGGCCTTGAGCACCTTCCTCAGGGCCAGTAGGAGTGGAATCAGCAGCGGAGTGACACAGCCGGAAGCCAGCATAGCCTCGACAAGTCCTTCAGCCTCTTGTAGGAGGCTTTAAACCACAACACTGGTGGCTTCTTGACCTTCAGCAGCCCTGAGACCACCATAGGTGTCCCCTTCTCCCGGGAATTCATGGTGCCACCCTCTCTTTGTGTGAAACAGCCAAACTTGAAGCAGGGTATCCTTTAAAAGATAATTCCACACATCCATGAATGTGCACTGTCACATTTTAAATTTCTCTTAAGTCAGAGTAGTTCGAGAGGATGCTCTCTCATTAGGATGCCATAAAACAATCTGCTGACCCTTCAAACACACTGTTACAAATTGCTTTTCAGCTTTTAGGTTCTTAGGTAAACAGCTGATTGAAAAGGTATTCTAGGGAAAAAGAGGAGTTATTTTTTAAGGTTAAATGTTTCCACAGTTTTATTTAGATTTCCAATAGTGCATTTATGGAAGACCCATGGATATACAGATTGTATCACATTTTTTTTTTTTTTTTAAGATTTTTACTGGGGAATTGGGGGATGGGAACAGCGCTGGGGAATTGGGGAAGTGGAACAGACAAGTTGCTGTCCTTTTGTTCTTCAGTCTAGTTGTGGAGGACGTTGCTTCACTGGCCCAAGTTGGCACCATCGTTGTGCTCTTCCCGGGCGAGGCAGATCAGTTGCCGCTTCTGGACGGCCGCTCACTGCGGCTGCTGGCTGCTCACTACACATGGTAGCCCATGGCAACCTACTGCAGCAGTGGCTGCAGCCTACGCTGTCACAGGCCACTCAAGGCAGCCCAGCTCCAGGTTGAGCTGTTGTTCAGCATCTTAGCTGTAGAGGGCAGTGTCACTGGCCCTCATATGTGGGATCCGAACCGGGGCCCTCTGGTGTCCCAAGCCAGCTCTTAATTAACCCGCCACTCGGCTGGCCCGGGATTGTATCACATTCTAATTAAATATGGAAAATAGTCATATTAGAATATTTACGCAAAGGAAAAGGCAAGGTGCACAACAATGTATATACTGTGTAACCAGTTGAAAAAAGAAGGAAAAGGAAAATAATTTGTGTTTTATTCTATATTCATTTAAAAAAAGTCTTCGGAAGAAATCAGAAGAAACTGTTAACAGTGGTTATCAGTTAGAGGGCCGGGGAAGGACCTGGGCAGATGACGGACAAGGGCGAGAGAAGGATTTTCAATGTAGGGCAGGAAAAGGATTTTCAATATATTCATTTTTTTCACTTAAATGTGTTTTGTTTGTTGGAGTTTCCATATCATGACAGTTTTTAACAGCTTTATTGAAATGTAACACACAATAAACTATATTCATAGTATGTATATATTTTTATACCTTTCTTTGAACCATTGCAAATATTACATATTAAAAATGGAAAGAAATTAATTAAAACTTTAAAAATTGGTTAAGTAAATAGATAAACAGCAAAGCAGGCTTGCCCTGGGTTTTATTATGTGGACCTGGGCCTTTATGGTTCAATCTAAGATTTTTTTTTTTTTACCTCTTGCAGAAAATTTGTGTAAGGTTTAGCTTGGTGGTTTTACCAACAATATAATATTCTTTTTAAAATCCTACCTCATGGAAAAGATTTTGAAAACAAAACGGTCACGTCCATGTCCCTGATCTCAGGGTATTGACGTTCTTCAGAATGAACAGTGAATGTGGTGACATTTCTAAATTAAGATGAGGACTTAACCAAAACTCTCTAGCTGTAATTAAACTAGGTTTAGGGCCATTGTTACCCGTCCTCCACACCCCCTTGGCAGGGCTCTGCCTCTCACATAATCGATTTGGGACTACAGAGAATCAGACTTTGGGCATAAAGGAGTAATAGGAGGGCTCCAGCTGGCCTCGGGACAAAGTAACAGAGTGTAACTTTATCCTCATTTCACTTCCACTCCTTTGCTTCATCCTCATATTAGGGTCACTTTGAGCAGATCTTTGCTTGGTTAGGGAAAGCGTTGTTTTGTATGTGAAACTACTGACTTGTTCTCTGGGTAAGAATGACCATTTTCTGCCCAGTAAAACTATTTGCCGTAGCCTATCTTTGGTTTTAGTGATTTGGGCTTATGAGGTTTGGCTGAAGGGAAGCAGATGAAAACTTTCTAATTCAACTTTTGCATGTTTGCTGTCTTCTCCCTCCCATTGTCCCTCGATCTGCTAACCCAGATAACTGCTTTGTCCCATCCTGATTTTATCTGTTCGAGGAGCCAATCAGACTCAGAGACTCAGTGCCATTGTTAGAGTCAACTTGCTCTTATTCTCGGATTTCCACTTTCTGTGCCACCCGGGCACCCTCATGGACAAGTCGCGTCATTCTTTCTCATCCAGTTTCATTATGGGAACAGGTACTTAGGGAAAACAGGGTAACCCAGTAGTAGGAGCCCTGGTTTGGAATCAGACAATCTGAGTACAGGACCTTACATTGCTGTGAACTGTGTCACCGAGTAGTCAGGACTTGATTCAGTTTTGTATCCTTGGCAGGTGCTTTGCAAATGTATTAGTTGATTGACTAGGACAAATTCTCTGCTTTAGTTTTTTCTGTTGAAGATAGAGATGACTTTTGTACTACATTGCCATTAAGCTATACTAAAAATAAATACATTAATATAATGAAGACGAGAAATGGACAAGTAATGTATTCTGTGGAGCTGATGTGTGAAATGTAGGGGTGGGTGAGGTGATGAACTCAGGTGCCTTCAGACTGTGTGTCTGGCTCTGTATAAAGGATGGAGTTTGGCTGAAGCTGGGCTGCAGGAGGAGGGAACTGCTGCTGTTTTTATTTGCTGAGTAGTGTCTTAGATTCCAGATGCAAGGCTTTGTTCACCATTTTTCCTCTTTCTCTATATGACGTGCAGTTGCTTTTTTACCTACTCACTTTAGAGAACTTAGATAATTTTGTCCTCAAAACAAACTTTGTGAGGATACAAGGCCAATATTCTATCTACATTTTATAGATGAGGAAACTGGCTCAGAGAGGTTATATCATTTATCCAAGGTTACATAATATGTAAATGGCAAGGCCACTTCTCTTTATGTCCTGTTACCTCTTTATACTTCACTTTCTAATTTGTAAGTCTAAAATTAGGAAATCGGACCCGATGATGTTTGAGGGCTCTACCATCCTGATCTGAAATCAGTTAATCAAATATTTATTCAGTATCTTAAATTGTTTTGGAACAAGAAGGATTTTACTTACAACAATGTACATTGAGTATCTTATGTGCAAAGCACTGTGGAGGTAAGAAATATAAAACCTCTGCCAGCAAAGAGTTTATCCTCTAGAAGTTGAATGCCACATACTCCTATGTGAAGGGTCAGGGAGCTCCAGGGGGTAGTGGTTTGGGGAGACTGGCCAGGGTCATAGCTGAGAAACTACCTTGGATGGAGCTGGGTACATCACAGGCCCCATAAGTTAGCTCAGCATTGGTATGACAAAAGTATCAGCCATTTTTGTCCTCTCTTCTTTAAAAGACAGCTGACATTTATGGAACCTTCTGTTTTCTCTGCCTCTTCTCTTCTCCTGGCGGGCAATTAAAGGAATGTGTGCTGTTTGTGCCTTGCTGTGTGTCTGTGTGCGCACACACAGTCGTACCATTATAGTAATTCTCAAGCCATCAGAAAAGATTTTTTTTTTTGGGTCCTGATAATTGGTCATTGGTACCCTGGTCCTAGGCTGTTGTTCTTTTGTGCTATTTTAAAGAAATAAGCGAAGAAAATGGAGGAAGCTCATTTGGAATAATAATTCTTCAAGCCGCTCTTTATAGTTCTTTTAATTTCATGCTATAACTCATTTAGTTCTGGGCCCTTCGTGATTACAATTCATGACTATGTCCTGTTGTTTTGTTTTCTTTGAGTTTTCATATTTGAGGTAAAAACTGCATTATCATTAGTATGCTTCCCTGAAGCCATACCTAATTGTTCCTTTTGTTTATTTGTTCAAATGAAACAGTGCATCAAGTATGGAATTAGATTAATGGGGTAAATATTATGAATCATACACTCTCTCTAATCTGATGCTCTTTCCTTTCTTGACCCTCTTTTTTGTTTTCTGTCTGTCTTTCTCTCTTCATGTAGGCTTTTCAGCCCGGTGTCAAGCTGTAGGAGCGAGGGAGCAAAGGTAAAGAATGATGTAATGCACTGGCTGCCCCAAAGCATCTTTTGTTGTGGAATGGTTATTCCGGTCATCTCTTTATGAATCAAATGTGAGGGGCTGCTTTGTGGAAGAAGTCCTTTGCAAGAGCCCATCAACAGGAAAGAGAAAGAGACATTCACTTGGAGGGCTCTTGCTGAAAATGGGTTTAACTCTCCTTTTGCCAGTCACCACCAGCCTGACCTCATACATTTTTAGTACAATGGAGTGGCTGAGCCTTTGAGCACACCACCATTACATCATCGTGGCAAATTAAAGAAGGAGGTGGGAAAAGAGGACTTATTGTTGTCATGGCCCATGAGATGATTGGAACTCAAATCGTTACTGAGAGGTTGGTGGCTCTGCTGGAAAGTGGAATGGAAAAAGTGCTACTAATTGATAGCCGGCCATTTGTGGAATACAATACATCCCACATTTTGGAAGCCATTAATATCAACTGCTCCAAGCTTATGAAGCGAAGGTTGCAACAGGACAAAGTGTTAATTACAGAACTCATCCAGCATTCAGCGAAACATAAGGTAAATGCTTTCTTCCTCCCCCCGCCCCCCTTTTAAAAGAAATAGACGCACTGAATGGGAATAATTTTAAATGAAGCCTCATTTTTTAAGGGGAAAAAATAATCTGAGGAGTTTGGTTTCTTTTAAACTTTGGTACCTTATGATACCTTAAAAGAACCTACTTACCGTATTGTCACATTTAAGAATATTTTTAAACTGTACAGAGAGGTTAACTTGTTTTAACTTGGTCAAGTGCTGTTTTCCAATTAATGGCTTGCTAAAATTGTTTTTATTAATTTAAACACTAATAAAAAGTTATAATTAATACATTGTATTAATACTTATTAGCAATTATGTATTATGTACTAGTATATGAATTATTGATAATATAGTAATACATTATTTTGTATTATCTATAAACGTACTGAAAGGAAATTATTCTTTTCAATGGGCTTAGAAAGAAAGTAGAAACTATATTAGTGCTTTTGATTTTTGGGAATGTAAGTTAACATTGGTCAAGACTTTAGGATATTATCTTCAAGGAATTATTCCTAGGATACCAACATGTCATCTTTGTGGTAGGTAAAGCTATTTCTTTTCTTCAGGAATAAAAATGAGTTCATGTTTTACTTTTATTAAACAACTGATTTTGTTGTTGTTATGTGGAAACCATTTGTAAATGTTTCTTTAGTTCACATACCATGTTTATTTTGCATATTATTTTGTTTTACATGCTTTACCCTTTTATAGTGTTAAGGATTTAAAACCAAGGAGTTTTGAGCACATCTATACAGAAATAGCATCAAATTGCCTTTTACAAGTTGTTTTTTACCAGCATTTAACCCATTTGTATTGTGCTTATCCAGTATGTTGACCGCATCTGATTTTTATTCAAATTATTAATTGAAATCAGGAAGCGGTTATTTGCTTTTGTACCAGTGGTTTCTGGGATTGTTTTTCTCACTGTCCTTCCTAACAGCCTCACACTTGCGTTTTAGGTCGACATTGATTGCACTCAGAAGGTTGTAGTTTATGATCAGAGCTCCCAGGATGTGGCCTCTCTGTCTTCAGACTGTTTTCTCACTGTACTTCTGGGTAAACTGGAGAAGAGCTTCAGCTCCGTTCACCTGCTTGCAGGTAAGGCCCGTGGTAGAATTGAAAGGAGCTCCATGACTAAGCAGTTATTTTACAGTGAGCTCAGAGTACAGTAGATCATCACAACTTTGAGGTTTTTGTGTACAGTGATTTGTTTATAGCTTTTTATTGACGTAACTATTCTGTTGAATTTGAATACTGTCATCCTTCCACGGTGGCCAACGTATTCTTGACTTAGCTCAAATGCCTCTTCCTGTGGTGTTTATTAGCTAGAAGTGCCACATAGATAGGTTTGTGTGCCTGTATAGATAGCTCAAAGCCAGCTGCTTCTGTCCAGAATTTTTCCATTCACCTGTGATACAAGAACACCAGATGCTCTACATCTGAGCTCCTGCTCTTAGTCCCCTCCCCCTGTGGTAAGAAGCAGGCCAGTATTCCGGTGTCAAACTCCTATTAAACATTTATAGTTAAAGCAGACTCCAGTGATAAGATCACGATTCTTGGACATTGTGAACAACGAGGACGGAAGAGAATGTGTGTAGGCTATTTCTTCTCATAATTAGGAGGACTATTTTAAAACTTATTTTGTATTTTTTGTTTGTTTTCACAACTAAAAAAAAGTCTCAACTTTCAAATGCTAAGCAACCAGATGATTTTATAAAGTATATGGGAAGACTAAATATTTCACATTTGCCCTAAAGGAGAGTGGTGTGGGAGTTCCAGCTCATCAAATTCCAAAGCAGACTTTGCTTCCCCTGTTTGCAGACACTACTAAAGCCTTTTCACTCACACGGGCTCACAGAGCCGGGAGTACAGTTTGACCATGCACAGTAACCTTTAACCCAAAGCTGCTGCGTCTGGCAGACTCGACCACAGTGATAGACAAGAGTGCTTTTAAAAACGTGATCTAAGAAAAAATATTGATAGTATCATTTTCACACCTTTAGTCTTTTGTTGTAAGGAAGGTACAGTGAGCTTGATGTTATTGGCAATTATTAGAAGTATGTATAAAATTTCAGTTTTAAGAAAGTAAGATTAATCAGTTGTTGGTGTGTGAACAGTTAACCTCTGTGCAGGTTTAGGTAAGATTTCCATGTCTCCATTTCTCTCATCAGTCAGCCTTTGCTTCAGTTCCCAAAGAACAAGGGTATTTTCCTGTCTCCTTCAGATCATCTATTGCCATCTTTCGTTTATGCTGTGATTCTGTTCGATCTCTCTATTAGTATACTTAAGTGAAGCCAGTTTATGTTAGAACGTAGTTTTCAGAATTCTGTAACTGAGAATTACAGTGTTAGATTCTGGCTCTTGTTGATAGGCACGTTCTTTTACTGGGAGTATTAAGGTGTTAAGTATGACAGCTGTTACTAGAGTTCCAGTAAACTAGGTTGGTGAGTTGAGGGAATTCATTCCATGTTTCTTGTAGCCACTGTGAGGGACTTGACTTTGCAATCCTAGTAATGGGGCCAGAATATTTCCTAAAGTGGGTACACCAAGATATGCTTCATGGCAAAGTCATTGTCCCACCTCCTGCCTCCCTCTTTTCTGAGACACTAGTCCCTTTTGGAGGTGGTCTGACTTGACCTTTGGCCAAACAGACATTCCCGTGCAGGACTATGAGCTCATGTTGAGCTTCTAGCTTAGGTATTGTAGTTACTTACGTACCCTTTTTTCCCTTTACCAAAGAGCACACCTTTGTTACCTAGGAAGGTTCTTACCAGTCGTGTGTAGCTTTGGGAGGGGCACTCATTGGGCAAAGAAGAAAAAGGACTCAGTCTTTTCACCTGGGTCAACCCTAGGGACACATGGAATGACACACTGAGTCAGAGCACCCTCATGTCCCCACTTCATGCAGGAAATGTTTCCTAGGCCTAAACACAAGTCCAGATCGAGATAGCACCAAGAACCACACTGAAAAGATGGATAGCACCATGTCTTCATCCACACCCTAGAATCCTGTATTTCTTTTAATTTATGAGGTGGCTTTAGGGACCTAGATTACCTTGTTTAGGAGTTTCTGAGCAGCCAGATCTCTTATGACCTAAAAGAGGGTTCTGGATGGTTAAAAGCCTCCCCAACCATCTGAAAGCCTCTGACCAGTTGGCAGTTACCTTGGTTAGTGTGTCTGTTCCACAGAGTAGACAGAAAAGTAGAATAAGTGCACGAGGATGCTGGGAAAGATATGGCCATCCATTCTTGGCAGACTTTTCTTGCCAAGGTCCAGTTGGCCAGAGGATGTTCCAGGGGTGTGAGAAAGGACACATCCACAAATGTTTCTTAAATATGTTGCTTTGTGGGGGTTGGGGGAATAACCAATGAAAAGCACGCTAGCTTCTCACAGGTGCAGCGGGAAATTGCAAGGTCACTGGAGACAATTTTCACTACAAACCACCCCTGTTGCTTTCAGCAGTTAGAGATGCTTGTCAGCCTCATGTGGATGGGATAATAGACAAAGTGATTCCTTGGAGTAATTTTTCCATCAGTTTAGAACTTTCACTTTGAGATTTTTCAGGAAGAGAATATCAGACATGTGAGATGGTTTTTATGGTCATTATATGTGGAAGTGAAGAATGGTGGCCCAAAGTTCAGTCACATTCTCAAGGTTCCCTTACCCAGAGAAAAATGACTTTGGAGAAAGGGAACAAGAGACCTCCCCGAGAAACTGATAGAAAAAGCATTATAATGAGTTCTTGCCCTCAAACATGAGGAGACCCAAACTTACCTGTAGGACATAGTGACATGGACATAAAAAAATGAAGGCTTATTGAAGGAAGGGTGCATTAGATTAGGGGAAATTTTACTGGAATGCAGTGGGCTTAATTCATTAATATGGACCAGGCTTTGGGGATGGGGCTAGCCTAGTAAAATTCAGCTTCTAACCTGCAGGTGGAACGGTTCTTTTAAGCCATTTTGACAGCTGTTTACCAGTGAGACTGGATTCCCAAGCCTTCTAACACTGAAACTTAGAACCTGGTTCTGCAGTGAGCTTGACCTGTGCTGACCACATCTGTGGGCTTACTCTGCTAGGACCTCGACCCCTGACTGGCCAACTTCCTTTTCCTAAGCCCAGCCAGTATTCTGAACAAAATGATTACTTTGAAAGCCATATGCTGTGCTGTCACAAGTCTTTCATTTAACCTTGTATTGTCAATTACCATTTTCATTTGTTAGCTTAACTCCCTTACTGGATTCTCTTCTTCAAGTTGAGGACTATGGCTTTTCATCTTTATGTTTCCCACAAAGCCTAGCACTTCTTAAATTTTTAATGTCATTTGATATATAAGTTAGCTTACATGTAGGTTTATACCGTTTATATTTTATATGATTCATTTTATTAGCTTAGAACATAAAGGATTGTATTAAACAATAATGAAACTAATCTGGAAGTGTAGCAAAGCTTGAGATGGTTTTGAAGTAAGCGATTTTCTAAGTGTATTTGTTCATTTCAGATAGAGCAGAGCTGCTATGGTAAAAGTATCTAAAATGAAAATGTTTCCATCTGTTTAAGTAGATTTAAACATAATTTTAAGATTTAATAAAAATACTCCTGCAATTAAACAATGCTAATGTTGGTGATCCTTAAATACTGAACTTTGATAAAGAGTTATTAGCTCTAGAAACCTAGGTCCACTCACAGAAAATACAAGTTCTTGAATCCATATGAGTTGAGAATAGTTGAAATAATGTATTTATATATTTATATATGTGTATATATATTTATGTATATAAAGTTATTTTTATATATTATATATATTTACATTTACATGTAAATTGATTGTTTTATTTGGGCATTAGTCTCCCAATAACTAAGCCAAACTAAACCATAGCATTGTTTCATCCCCACCCCCACTCCCAAGGATTAAAATGTTTAATCATCAGTAGCAGCCTCATTTTAGCAAAAAAGAATGAATTTGGATCCCTTTGGAAAGTTCTCCATCATCATTGATGGATAGACTTAAGAATGTGAATTAATGGAATGACAGAATGTAGTGACATAAACATTTGTTTCACAAAAATTACTTTATAACTGAGGATCCTATTATGAGGATCATATTAGATAATGTATGTGAAATCTCTATAATAATAGCCTTTTAAAAAAAAATAAATTATTATGAGTTAGAAAACAAAATAAAGAGTTGCCAACATTGACTTATTGATAACTTTTTTGGTCTTGTTAACCTTCAGAAAACTAGTTCTTTTTAAAAAATAATTTTGTTTCTTGTCCTTTACTTATTTACTACGTATCACTTTATTCTACTTGCCTTTGTCTATTATATTTCTAAGGCTGCCAGATTGAAAGTAAATATAGAAGAAAGAAAAACTACTAAATTTGGACTTTTATTTTGTGCTAATAGAGAAAAGAGAATAAATACGTTAATTTAGTAAAAAGATCAACCTACAGATGAAAAATATTGTTCTATTATTTCCCTCTCTTTCCTTACTGGTATAACTCTGAGTAACAGCCCAAGTAAAAACTGCTGAGTAACAGCAGTTTTTAATCCTACAGCACTCATTTCTATCCTGTGATGAGGTACAGGATAACCCTATAGCAAAAACCATAAATGAATCACAGACTTCAGCCCTTTCATTTACAGATGAGGAAAATAACAGGGTCCTTGAGTGACTCTCCCAAGCCCTCCCTGTTCTCACTGTGTGCTCAAGGCCCATATCCACAGTAATTCCAGAGTCTTCTGGGATTTCATCAGGAGGCTGGACTGGGGAGTCAGGGGTGCCCATTTCAGATCAGGCTTATCCTGAAAGGTTCTTTTTGTGATAGCTCTCAATTTCAGTCTCTGTGGATTTGGGAGTCATATTCTTACTTCACATTTTATGGAATGAGTAATGTATAAAAATATCCTGTATATTAAAAAAAAAATTAAAACATTAAGTTATTTTAACCAGAGAGGATCATCAAATAAAAGTCTGACCACTCTGTTCTATACTGAAGTCTAGCTCTGAAGAATGAAAGAAAATACCATTTATTATGTGTGCACTTACATTAGGTACATTGCTAAGGGCTTTTATAAACATTTAGTCTCTGAACA